AGGCCAGACTGCTGGCCCTGACATGTCCAGCTTCGGCCTTGCTGTACACGCGAAGCCTCGGCCTAACACAGCAACTTGCGGCAAGAAAAACATGTTCAGGATGGAAGGGAGACCCCTCCACAACCATCCAATCGAACCACGCAGTCGCGGGCAACACGCTCCAACCGATACACTCCGACCCAAATGATCATCGAAGTGGACTTCACCACCTGTTTCTGAAGGAATAAGAAGGAACATGGTCATCCAAGGGGCCATGCCATCCACTTCCAGGATTGTTCCAGGGATTGAGGTCCTCCTCAACCCAAAGATCGACATCCACCCCCTGAACTCTGTTGACTGGTCTGACAGTGGGAGGTTGGATAGACCAAAGATTCAAAATACATTCGTTAACAATCAAGGATCCACCAGTGTACCAAAACGATTGATTCAAGGATCCCATATCATTTGTTCTCACATGAGACAAGAAAATCATTCATGACTCAATCTGAATCGTCAAACCTCATCTGTTGGATAAACCATTGATTCCAGCAGGATCCAGTACTTCAGCAAAGAACCACATTGACTCTCAAAACCACTTGAAATTGTAGAGGATCTACTCGTCTAAACTGCGGGGTCAAAATCTCAGGGTCCATCCCATATATCCCATTCCTTTGTTCATACTGTAGTAGTTCCAAATCCCAAATATAATCTGTTAAGATGTTAAGATCTACCATTGATTCGCACAGGATCCATTAGTTTTCAATTTTCTGTTGAACACCACAGGCTCCACGAATTCCGAAGGACTATCCCATGGGCTCGGTGCAGGATGGATAGTCCCCCCGTCAACAGCGTCCACGTGCAGGTCGGAAAACCCCCGATGGGAAAAAGACGCTTAGATCATCTTGGGTGGGGTCAGCGTCAACATACTTAGCCATATAAACACATGCCATATGGCATATGCACATATATATATATATATATGCACTGAACATGCCATATGGTGATGTCAACACAAGGATCAAGGTGGTACATATACCCAAGACTCTACGCATCTGAAAGATATAATTCGTACCTTGGCCCCCTCATCAAGCACCACTCACGTCGCCCCGAAAATGGACGTCTCTGGAAATACACCAATCCAATCGACGCATCGTCGAACACGTGACGCGACGCGCACTCGTCTCCAGCTCGGCAACGCCTTCACCGGCCAAAGCGCATGACGAGTCAGTCCCAAGACTCCGACCGAGTCCCAAAACACCCAGTCCAACACTACGACCTGGACCGGTCCGCGGTCGTCTCTTCATTCAGCTGTCTGGAGGTCGTCTCTTCATTCGAACATCCACATCACTGGCACCTCTGGTCTCACATCGGTCGTCCAACATGTTGGGTCACTTTTGGGGTGGTCAACCAGTGGGGAGGGTCCATAGCCAACACCTTGCCACCATGCCTGCTGTGGGTGCACCGCACGAAGCAACTTGCGGCGCAAAAAACGCCCAGCAGGGCCTGAGAGGAGTGAATGACTTGTCGGCTGAGGGGGGGCCGCAAGAAATGGTTGCCATTGATGGGTCCTTTTTCAGTGGGAGTATGTTTGGAATATCAGTGCGTTATCTCATGTTGCATCAATATACAGCTAATTGTAATGAATCATATATGAACCACGTTGACGAAAATTGCTGGAGTAGATCGGAAATGAATCAATCTGAACACATGACCCGGTTCCTAGTGTTTTTGTTTTGATTTACATATTCTTTAGCATGACCACCGAGACCATCCAAAACCTGGAAGAATGTAGGGTCTTGAAAAGACTCAGCATTTTGCAACTATAAAACCAGGCTTCTCAAAAACCATTCACAAAAGACGGGTCTTTACGGGTAAATTACGTGTTTTGCACGATGGGATAAATATACGGGTTCTGAACACGAGAAACCGAGTTTTCCAATGAACATTGAACAACTGATTTTTTGTCGTCTCGTATGCCAAAACAAAAAAACATATGAACACGGTCGTCTTTTTTCTAGGGTTGGTTGCTCCTGGTATGAGTATAAGATAGTATAAGCATATTTCCCTACAGGTCAAAGACCGATCGTTTAAAAAACACATTACTGATCAATGAGTCAATGAGCTCAACGGCAGGTTTTACTGCGTCTGATCTGTAGTGTCAATTAAATGTGCCCTATACCTTGGATTGCGGACATTTGTCTAGAATCCTAAAATGGGATCCCCAAAAGGATGGAGTTCCGGGCGGTTCTTCGACCGCTTCAGTCGTCCAGACCGCCTCGTCGAGTCCGAACACTGTCGCGTCCGTCATGGACATCCACGGAGCGACGGTCGTGCGAGGGACCCGTGGAACACGGCCATGGACGAAAGCCGCGGAACGTGTGTGGTGTGGTGTGGGTTTGATGAAATGGATTAGTGGACTCTGATCGCCGTTTTGGAAAGGCCAAACATGAGCAAAAACACCCGAAGGTGCAGGGGATAAGGGTCTCATGGTGCCCATCCCAAGCCTCGCCGCGCTCAGTTCACTGCGTGAGCGCGAACTGAAGCCGCCAAGCCACGACGAAGGATGCCGCGGCATGTGTGTGCGCGACACGCAGCCGTGTCATGGCTCCGTTGTTCGCGTCGTTCGGCGACGTTTGTGGAGATTGGATCACCGAAGAGCTTCGTTTGCGAGCTTTTGTTTGTTTCGTTTGCCAATTGTGCATGGTTCTCCTGCTATCATGGATCACGATTCAAACCAGGGAAGTTAATGTTAGACTATCATCCTTAGACAGAACATGCTCAATTAAAACCAATTGAGGATATGTACATATGTAAAATATAGACCTTTATTGTTCACATGTCCCCGCGGGCTGCGGGTGTGCAGTATTTGTCCTCTCGGGATTCCCCGAGGGTCTTGAGCCAGGTGTTCGTCATCGCATGTCCGTCGATCAGTCCATCGATCCACACGGACCTACATCGAAGCGTGGGAACGACCTGCTGCCCCACCATCAGCTAGGATTCCGGGACTCGGACTGGAAGAATTGCGTGGATGATCGTGCTAAGTGGCATGTAGTGGACGATCCCGTCATGTAGTGGCCCCAGAAACATCCGTTGGTAAGTGGCATGATCGTCAGAGAAAGAACCAACGGACGATCGGACGATCACGAGTCGACCATCCGAATTGCGAGCGAGTCCGCACGTCCGGACGGCCGCAGTTCGACCGTTTGACCAGGTTTCGTACGAACTCACCTCCGTGACAGACCATCCGAAGTACGGAGGTAGCTGTACCCGGACCCTATATGGGTATGTGGTATGCAATCAAAACTGATCACAGGCACCGTAGCACCAATCCATCTGCACCCCCACCCTTCACCACGCGAGTGACAGGGTGACAGGGTGTGTCTTTTCCAGGTTGTTGAGCATACATATCAATATTCCCCAGGCTTTTTGAATGATTGTTCATCATATTGCATCTCCTATATAGTGGAACATGTTGTGTTCCACAAAACTCCACATGTGGTGTCAGAGATATCGACTACCAACTCCAGGGCCTCCAGCCTTTAACCTTAAGATCTCACAAGACTTGCTACGGAGACCGGTCCGCGTGCGCTCCACGGAGACCGTTCGTTGCGATGGACGGGGGTCATCTCAGCCGCGCCTTCGGAGGGGGAGAGAGAGAGAGATAGAGAGAGAGAGAGAGCGAGCGCGCAAGGCGGACTTGCACGAAACTGGAATGACGCAGGCCACCAAACACTTCACGAGAGACTAATTTTGCCGACGTTGACCCCTGAATACCCCTGATGATATCAACCACCCCAAGTGTCCGATGGAGTCATGGAAGTCATACGCAGGCCAAAAAAGGTCCAAATCATGTGATCACCAGCAGAGGTTGAAGAGACTGTGCTGTAGGTACCCCAGGTGACGGGTCCTAGTTCAGGTCACTGGCTACCTCTATTGGCATGTGGAGTCCGGTGGAGGGTTTTGGACCTGTGCAGCGGAGGTTTCGGACCTGTGCACCTAACGCCTCCACCGCTTTTTTCCGCACGCAGGTTTCTTCGGCGACGTCTGATCTCAGGTTCGCCGGGCGGTCTCAAAAGGGACTCCACTCACCTGCCACGATGCGAAGGTGGACGTGGTGTTGAGATCATGATCCAGCCACAAAAAGACCTGGTTCTGGCAAAACATGCAGAACTATGCTAAAACACACAACACTTACTTCAAAGGTGCCCAGTCCAACCAACCGCCCAGTCCGTCCAAACATTTGAAGGCCCGGTCCATCCGAGAGATGACTTGAGATCAAAGTGGACCTTCCGGGACCCGAAGATGTCCTGATGGTTCCAGGTAGACCCGAAGGCTGTGGCGTCATAGCACCTGTCAACCCGCTGGTGGAGGATCGACTGCCATGTGACCGTCCCGTCGTTTTGGAGACGCCAGACGTCCAAGTGAATCTGAGGCCAAACATGTCCAACTTTGGATGGAAAGCCAGTACATCTTTTGGTGAGATCAATATCTGGTGAGAGTGCACATCTGTTTGAGTGTATATGTCCAAATCCCATTACCCTGTGTGATGCCGCAACGGACTTGTTTTCCATGTCCGAATTGGAGTGCTGTTCATGTGCAAGCTAATTCCAGAAATCGTTTGAAATACATCAGACTGGCGCAGCTATCAGACATGTGTAGGCTGCAAATCCCTTCTTTCGTTCGCTACTCACATGACTTGCTTGGCTACCCATCAAGTCAAGACTCGATGCATCTCGATGCAGCTTCTGGTGGTTTAAAGGTGCCTCCTTGATTGCACAGCCATACGCATATTGAACCAATGTGGTGTCCATCAGCAGCGTTTTTCGCCGAGACGCGTTGCCACATGACATCTAAGATTTTACACTTGAACTCGCGAGAAACCATACAGAATCATTCACGTAAAAAAAGCTCCGTTTTTCGCCGAGACGCGTTGCCACATGACATCTAAGATTTTACACTTGAACTCGCGAGAAACCATACAGAATCATTCACGTAAAAAAAGCTCCAAAAGATATGGCACGTCACCCTGTAGGATCTGCGCCCGCCAACTTCTGCACCCAGCCCGTCAGTGTCTGCAGTGTGTTCCTTGCGGGCCGGGGTAGGAAGAACTCAGGGGCCTCCTGCACCACGTTGGTGGCAGCAAAAAAAGGAGCCATTCTCACCCCATGTCCCAAAGGCCACAATCCCCAAAACAGGTGTTTGACCAAACTCTGGCCAAATTAAACAAACAACTACCCTAACTACCCGCCACAAGTCAACTCAAGCGCCAGAACGATGCCCCAAGCTCCAAACGACCAAATCACAAAGCACACTTTACATGATGTGTTGGGGCAGGAAACGCTTCACCTCTATGTTGCTGGGTGGAATGGCAAGTTCTCCAGTCGCTCTGTGTTGTGAAAACATGATACTGTCAACAGAGCCGTAAATTGTTGTCCGCATGCCACACCTCTGGGTATCCGGCGTGGGACATTGGCAAGGTACCAACAAGCGGTGAGAAAGTTCTTATGCAAATACTTGGTACTGCTGCCAACAAATACTCTGAACAAAACTATTGAGCGGTAACACTTCAATGTCCTCATTGTGCTGAAATGGCCTGGCAATGGTCTTTATGAAGCCTGACGTGGAATTCACACTCAGTTCCTGTCCCAAGCCAACACACAAGATCACAAAACCTGCATTAAACAAACAACACACTTTTGCGTGGAAACTTGATATCCACGTCCATGGACCAATAAATATAACTACTTGAGGACAGTGGGGACGAAAGCGAGGGGTGTGGAAGGATCAAGGGGACGCGGAGGGAATGCAGCAACGCAACGCTTTTGTGCCACGAGCGCAAAGTGTTATTGGCTGAGTCAACGAAACACTAAAAAAAACATCGACTTTCATTTGTCTTTTCTAAGCATTTGGTATGCTTTCTCACAAGGACGAGGGAGGAGTCGAATAGCCTCTTTCAATTCACTTTACGGGGGGGGGGCCCACCCCCCCCTTAGACGTTTCAATCTGCAATTGAAATATAAATTCCTTTGCGAGGGGGGTGGAGGTTATTGAAAGAATCAATAAAAAGGGAGGGCCCCCCCCCCTCGGCTGACCCCTCCCTTTCAATTTCGTAAACAACAACTTCCGCTGAGCTCCTTCTGAGCTCGCTTTCGTGATGATAATAAATCGCGGCGTGGTTGCTTTCTAGCTGTCAAGAAACTACATTGATCAACAACCTCTAGGTCACCAGCTAGGTCCACACCAAGACATCTCGCATATATAGAACCCCCCTCGCTACCTCACAAGCTCAAGTCAGTCTAAGCTTCTCCATCCAAAGCAACTTCAGCTCGACGTCTTTCAGCGTTGACTTTTGCGCCACACTTGATGCTTCCGATCTCTTCCTTGTCAAGCACGGGTCTTGCAGGTCCAACGTCGTAATGACATGGTTCACTTGATGTCTTTCAGGTCTTACCGGTGCCTTTTCAGGTCTTTCCAGACACTGCAGCCTGGGACCCCTTGACTTTGAACTCCCATCATCTCACAAGCGGAAACGCCCTGCGTTGCTGGAGCCCCATGGACTCCTATATCCTACCCAGAAGGAAGCTACGGTTCCATGCCTGCTGAAATCTCTCCACACCAACCCAAAAGGCACTCCCATGGCTGTTGAAGATCAAAATGCATGTCAAGGAAGCCTCTCCCAGGACCTCTTGAACTAGCACTCATATGTGGTAAAAGGTGCCTCCTCCAGGAAGGCCTTGCTAGCCGCAAACTTTGCAGGACATTTTGTTTGAGGCTTCCAATTCTCAGTGTATAGCAACTACCCTAGTCTGCGACGTCAACTACAAGAACAGCCCTGAACATGATGTCCATGTTTGTCTCACGACCGAGCTTCTCCATAGATCCCATCTGCTCTGTGAGTTTCTTCCTTGGTAGGCACTGCGCCAGTCTACGCACAGCTGAGCTTCACGTACACTAAGGGAACCTGATAGAACCGTAAAAAGAATGTCACAAATCAGAGTCATGTGCTTTGGTTTCAGCGCTATCCTGCCAAGTGCACGCACACGCTGTTTGGTGATTGAACACCACAGGTAGCCCTAAATGAGAGCGAAACACATCCTCTTTCCCAAAGAAAGTGTTTCTCGTTCATTTACATCATCATCTATCGTCGTCTCTCGCCTGTTTGTCAGGTATAGGGCGAAAGTATGCAAAGTTATAGAAGAGTCAAGGCAGCCTTCAACACTTGCAGTCAAGGTTCTCGAGGTCATCCACACGGTTCTTCAAATCAAAGCGTAAGCTTCTCATGTCTTCCATGGGCCGCTCTTTCCGGGTCAATACCCAAATGCGGCTTTTCTCCGCACTCGTGAAACCCAAATAGTCTGGGTCCTGCACCTGGTGTCGTGTGTGTCTATCTCCGCAGTACCCGAGGCCAACCGCCACAACGTATTTGATCCCGCTGAAGTGGACATTGAAAATGCACCAGCTCATGACCACAAGTGCGGCCAGGACCAAAATGAGAGGGAAAAGCAGAGGCAGAAGCAAGAGCAAAAGGGCACCACAAGTCAAGCGCGCCAAAATGCACCCACCACAACAACGTTGAAGCCACCTTACAATCCGCTTTGGAAAGTGTGCCCAGATACGGTTCTGCAGTTCGAGGAGCATCGAAGCCCGCTCTCGAAGAAAGAGGATGGCGCACTTCTCCTGGTAGAGCTCGAAGTTCTGTCCCAGGACTGCGATGAGCAGGTTCATGAGGAGCACGGTAATTCCAACCCCAGTGATGTAGAAGAGTGCATGCGCCCAGCCCTGTCTTGGCAAGTCTAGCAGGAAACAACACAGTACCCTTTATACAAAGGTCTAATTGCAAGGCAACATTATAACCCCCGCACAGGACACCAATAAGTTAATAAGTGAAAAAAGGGACATGCGGCGTTCTGTCCTTCCACCGACAAACTACACAAACACAAAGGAATAACACCTGTCAAACAAAGAGTTGCTGTATCACAAAGGATAGGTGACGTAATTCGGCCCTGGATCCGGATCTTGTGGCTCCCACTCTTTTGTGTCATGGTTGAACTTGTGCGTAGGGTCCAGTCCCTCGAACTCGAACATGTCAAAATCCCCGAAAATGCCAAGACGGACGATCTGCGTGATTGCTGCGTAGAAAGGTGATGGTTCATCCCTCAGCTGCAAAACATAGTATGCATGTGTCGCACCTGCAACACATGATGCAGTCAAAACCATAAAGGCCATGGTGTCCTTCAGGGCGGAAAGGATTGGTAAAAGGCGCGGCCCCATCCACACTTCGCATCGTAAGGCGTAAAGGGCACGCAGCCACGCCATAGCGCACAACATGGCCCATGGAACTTTCTCTAACCGGTTGCCTACTGTGATGAATTGTGGCAAGATCGCCCACCATCCAGTCACAATGTAGACGAAGTCCACAAAGTTGTTGAATTCCCGAAGGTGAGCAAGGAGTTTCCACTCTCGAAGCTTTGTGACGTATTGAACAACTTCGTCCACGCACTTCTTTCCGTGCAGTATCGCGACAAGGACCAACGTTTCCTCCATTTCCGGTTTTATTACAACAACACGTTCAAAACTCAAGGCCTCTGGAATTGCCCGACCTACTGGACATAAACTATAGCAGGATGCTGCGGTTCTGAACATGGCTAATGTTTTTCTTACTGTTCAAAGCTGCAGCTCGAGGAAGAAAAGTAGGAACCAAGAAAGACTGGAGGTTGTCGACATATTGAGTAGATCGCTTCCAAAACCAATCACTTACAGTAAATTGTTCTCAACACACGATGGACATGCAAAGTGTTCTATAGAGAAAACTTGCTGACCAAATAGTGGGATTCTGTTGGCGGAGTCGCGCCGTGGCGGAGAATGAAGGATGCGTAGCAAAGCAGGCCCACTGTCAGAAAACAAGAAAGGATCTCGAGAATGGTGCTCAGGCGCATTGGCTGCCAAGCCGCTGAAACTACTGCTGCCACTGCATCTGTTTCAAAGACATCATCATTGACTGTATCTTTCAAAGCTTGAAGCAATTTCCGGTTACATGCCTCGTTTGCATAAATACCTGGCAAAAGCCAGCAATTCACCTGCACTAGTGGAGAACTAATCAGATTCTGCTCTTGCAAATCAACCCACTTTTGTGGGGCCACCAGCCAAGGTTCATTGTGAAAGTAATCTGCGGGCGCCATCACCACTCGTACATGTTCATGCAAGTGAGCCTGCTTTAGTTCGTGTGGCATCACCAGCATCCTCTTCATGCGCTCCTCAATGTTCTCCTCAATGTTCTTCAACCCCCCGAGTTCCACCCCCCCGAGTTCCAACACTTTGGCTTCGCTTTTCCAGGCGTCCAGGGCATCAACCGCATCTTGGCCTTCCATCTCAACAAATCGAATCAAATGTTTCAGCCCACCAGCACCAGTGTGCACCAAGCATGCGAACAAATGGGTGTGCGACTCTTCCATTGCCAGATCCAAAGGTGTTCGGTTTTTCTTGTCACGTGCGAAAGCATTCGCTTTCCACTCCAACAGCATAGTCACCAGCTCTGCTTGGCCCTGTTCGGATGCCACATGCAGTGGGGTTCCTCCCTCCCACGAGTCGGCCGCCGCCTCCAACCGGGCGCCGCTTTGCAGCAACTGCCGCGCCGCCGCCGCGGTGCCGTTGGCAACTGCCATATGCAGGGCGGTGAAACCGGTGCTTTCCCAGTCGCTCCCCCGGCAGTACTTGAAGAACTCGAGGGCTTCTTTGTCCTCGGCCTCCTCGGCAGCTGCCTTTGCTTTTTTAAGGATTTTCTGCTCAGTCTTGCGGTGCCAGGCGGTGCCCGCGGCCGTTTCGGGTGGGGCCTCACTGGAAGGAACCACTTCTCTGCATGCGAAAAAGACATTGAAGTGCATGGAAGTACGTGGAATTGACATGAATTTACACAAACAAAAAGCTGTATATTGTCAACGTAGGATTAAGAACCCCCATTCTCTGAGGATTTAACTTCTGACACGCGAAAAAAATATTGTAAAAGATTCGGAATGAAGCGAAGCTTGAGACTCCAAGGTGACACCCGCCACACAAAATGCTTCGATCGCCCTCGGAACCTTATATTCCATTGCCACATCCAAAGGTGTTCGGTCCTTTGAGTCACGTGCGAAAGCATTCGCTTTCCACTCCAACAGCATCTTCACCAGCTTTGCTTGGCCAAGACGGGATGCCACATGCAGTGGGGTTCCTCCCTCAAACCGATCGGCCGCCGCCTCCAACCGGGCGCCGCTTTGCAGCAACTGCCGTGCCGCCGCCGCGGTGCCGTTGGCAACTGCCATATGCAGGGCGGTGTAATTCTTGCTTTTCCACTCGCTCCCGCAGTCCCTGAAGAACTCGAGCGCTTCTTTGTCCTCGGCCTCCTCGGCAGCTGCCTTTGCTTTGCTGTAGATCTGCTGCTCAGTCTTGAGGTCCCAGGCACCCGGATCGTCTTTGGACTCGGTCGAGTCTTTGGGCTCTTCCTTGGTGTTTCCGCGGAGACAACAGTTCAGCTGATAGTAGTTCTGTTGCTTTGCCTTGCAGTTATTGTTTCCTCACTTTTACCTATTGACTTACGCAGCCGAGGAGTGAAATACATACCCAGGACCAACCCAGAAGTCAACAACAAATGGCTTCAGCCTGGCCACTGAGGCAGCGATGCCAAAGGTTACTTTTCCACTAAATAAGTGTGCGCAAGTCGGGAACCACAGCAAAATATCGGTTGTCGTGTCCAGTCTTTAGTAATGCGGAACACATCGGAAAACTATTGACATGCTTCTGCCTAGCTATTCGCAAACACCGACGTTGACACGTTTCAGGCTGGCAAAAGAACAGGCATCTCTAAATTAAAACATATTAAAACCCTATGCGACCGACGTTGGAAACTCACGCCTAGCCACCGAGGCAGGCACGGCAGGCACGGCAGGCACGGGCACGACGCTGATCTGCTTGGCATGCTCGTCCAATTCGCCCAAGGGCTGTGGATCCTTAGCTGATCAAATTTTGTGTGGATCCAACTTGTGCACTATCCTTCCATGCCATATATTTTGCGACGGGTTTATTTCTCCACAACACCGACGCCAGTTTTACAGAGGGACCCAAGAAAGACGTTAACATCACCGAACAAGCGTCTTCATCTGCGACACCACCTGGCAAATCTGCAGGTGCAGGTGGCTCCACTTCCGGGACACCTGGGTCTGGTTGGTCCTTAGAGTCCAAGCATGTCCAAGCTCCAAAGCAGAACCGAGCGAAACCGATTCGTCAGAACATGGTATACCCAAGGAGTTTTGACGGGTTTTGTTTTTATCCTTTACTGTGTCTCTGATCCTTTATACAATCACATTGCTACCATTGCATTCATCAACATCCATCATCACACTTTTCAGTTCACACAAAGAAACATCAGTGAGTTTTTCTTCTATGCAGCGGATGATCAAAATCCAACCGAGAAGTCCTTTAGAATGGTTTCAGCCTGGTTACCGAGGCAGGCTCGGGCTTTAGCGCAGGCGGCGGCGTCTGCGGTGGTGCCGGAGGTGCTGCTGGTGCTTGTGGTAGATCCTCAGCTTGGCAAATTTTGCCCTGGGATGGCGACTATCCTTTCAGGTGAAACAACCAGAAGCAGCATGCCAAAGGTCATCGCTTGCACAAACACAACTCCACAGAATTATGCAAAGTGCTACAAAGGGGCTCAAGAGAAAACACGTTAACATCACAGGAAGCGTGATCTTCATCTTTGCTTGGCAAATCTGGACATGGTTCCTCCTCAGAAAGCACCCACAAGGTCTTGTCCCAACAAAAATCATTGGACGGTTCATTGTCGAAGATGCTAGGCGGCAAGCAGTCATTTCACAGCCCCGATTCCAAAATGGTCCAGCCATATAGTTCAAAACATCAAGCGGGTATTCCGGTATGCCTCTGAAATCATTCTGACGCCATGTCCATCAGTGCACCAAACAAGGACATCGTTGACAAATGAACGCGGTGGCATGGACACCCTTCAGCATATATATATATATATAAATCTAATGTACTTTCCCGAAGACATACGAAGACCTCTGGGTGCAATCCTGAACAAGTTCTGACAGGCATGTGCTAAGATGCTAGGTGTCCAATATGCACATACGGACTTTCCTGCCATGGCCGTGTGAAACCTGTTGTAATCATCTTCCACACACAAGGTGTTAATTCCAGTAGAGGTCGCTACATCGTCGAACATGGCACAAACATCCATTAAAAAATATTCGTTAGATTGTGTTGGATCGGCAATACCCAAGAGTGTCTTCTTGCAGTGCATGCTCTGCTCGCTACAGACATGGATGATTGAATGTAGACAACAGAACCAACATGAGTAGACATAGAAGCGTTCGTCCAAGCTGATGTCAGAAGCAATCAACTGCCACGAACAGCTCAAACAAACTGTCTTTGGATCAACACACGTGGTGCCCAACAGGAACGCTTTATAAACGCACAAATTAGATAAATGCCCCGTAAGTTCCATCCGAGTTGTTGACAAAAAGATGCACTGGCTGCACAACCTCCATGTAGGGTCAAAGCCAAAGGCGTTTGGGGGGACACCTAGGCCATCGCATGAGTATTAGGACAGTTCAATACTAATCTAAGCATGCTGGATCAAGTCGAGGCTCCGATCGCCCGTCACCCTCTCTTTGCGGTTCAGATTCAAGTCGTACGTCCTAAGATGGAAAGATCGGAACCGGCAGAACCAGTGCTCAACTCTCAGTTCTTCTACCCTGCTTAGATCGAAAATCCGTCCCTATTGGGTAAGTCTCTCGATCGCATGCACAAAAAGAACCTGCAAACTGTGTACGACACTTAGCTGCCCATTTATTCAGCAACATCCGTCACACTTGTCGGTTCACACAAAGAAACATCAGTGGGACTTTCTCTAATGCAGCGGATGATCGAAATCAATACCCGTCATAGACGAACCAGACGAGAAGTCCTTTAAAATGGTTTCAGCCTGGTCACCGAGGCAGGCTCGGGCTGTAGCACAGGCGGCGGCGGCGGTGGTGCTGGTGGTGCTGCTGGTGCTTGTGGTAGATCCTCAGCTTGGCAAATTTTGCCCTGGGATGGCAACTATCCTTCCATGTGAAACAACCAGAAGCAGCATGCCAAAGGTCATCGCTTGCACAAACAAGTATGCACAATTCTCTAAAATTACACCAAATTCTACAAAGGGACTCAAGAAAAGACACGTGTTAACGTCACGTTTTATAACATCACGCTTTAAGCGTCATCTTCATCTTTGCTCGGCAGATCTGGTGGAGATGGTTTTTCCTCAGTGAAGCGAAAAGAAGGTCTTCTCCCAAAGAAGAAAACATTGTCGAAGATGCTAGGCGGCAAGCAGTACTGAGTCGTGTTTCAATATGTTGTTTCCTTTCCTGCCACGGACACCTAACCTTCCACACATAAGGAGTTAATTCCAAAGGACACTACATCACGTCGAGCGTGGCACAAAACACTAGTACACTTGACAAAGGCACAGCAGCACAAACACACAAACTCAATGCAATGCAAGTTCCATTCGGTACCTGAGAACTTACGGGCTTCTAAGTTATGGTGTCATCCCACTTGTGTTTGCCGCAGGCTCTAACTGATCGTTTGGAGCTTTCAGAAAGAAGGTCAGAGGTGGAGGGTCCAAGGAAATCCATGGAAATGATTGAAATGGGTTTGGCGTCCTTAGGTTGACAAGAGGCACTGGCTGCACAAACTCCAAACATTTCAATAAATAGTCCCATGTAGGGTCAAGGCGTTTGGGGGGACACCTAGGCCATCCCAACCCCCCGCATCGTCAATGAGCATTAGGAAAAGAATGGTCCATCCGTAGTTCAGAACTAGTAATCTGAGCTGGCTGGATGCATCAAGTCGAGGCTCTTGCGATCGCCCGTCACCCTCGCTTTGCAACTGTTCAGATTCAAGTCGTGGTGTGTCATCCTAAGATGGACAAAGCGGCACCGGCAGAACCGGCACTCTCTCACATGTCCCTCTATACCCTTCTTGGATGGGTAAGTCAACGAAACATCCTTATAGGCATTTGGAACTACCCGTTTCGATTCTGGTTTTGGAACTACCTGCCATGTTGTCCATGAACACATACAGAAACAGAAACAGAAATCCATGAGCAAAAGCACATGAAAAGACAGAAAAACTCCAGGCTTCAGAAGCTGCTTCACCACCTTCACTACATCGCCATTGTCGCCATTGTCTGTCGATACAGCCGCTGCACGGTGCAGTGCTGTGGCGCCCTCATGGTCCACGGCGTTCACGGCCGCACGGGCGGCGAGGAGCCTCGTCACTACTGAGGAGTTCGCTCTTTCAGCGGCACGGTGCAGAGCGGTGGCACCGTCACTGGGACGAATCCAATGGGAGGAATCCATTCCTGAGGTCGAGTGCATTGCAAAACGGTCCGGGCATATTTGTGGAGTATGAAGGGTGCTCTTCTTCAAAAAACACCACACATCGTACAGAAGGATGTAGCCCGTGTAATTATCTGCCTATACATAGAAACTATATATCACTGTGGGCTGCCCGTCTTGAAGGGCTTCGTCTTCAGTGCTATTCGCCAACCAACTGTCGATATCGTCTCCAAAAGCAGGAGTCACACGTATGATGCGTTTACGGATGCGTTTTTTCGGCGTATGATTCTGGTCCTGTCATCGGTCATCTCCCCCTTTCCAAGTCTAGAAGGTCCGGAATGTCTGGAAATCACCTCAAAATAATCTGGATTTGGGAATGTCGTCTCAAAGTCCTGGGATCCCCAAGACTCATCTCGTGAATGGGATCGAATTGATCAGGTGGGGAAGGTGTAACTCTTTTCCCTCTTCGGAACAAACAACCTTAAGGCACTTAAGGGATCTTAAGGGGGTATCAATCAGGGTTTGATGGCAAACCCTTTGGGATCTTTATGTTTCTTTCTAGATCTTTAAATAAGCAACTTTTGGGACTGTGGGTGATTTTGGTTGATCAGGCCAGGTTGTTTGGCAAATGTCCTATCCGATTGGCAAACTCGTAAGAGCATGAGCCGACAATGAGCCAACATGAGAACAACTTGTTTGGACTTCAGTTAGAAAAGAAAGGACACAATTTAAGCGGCAACGGGATGCAATAACTATAGGACGGTGCACAGCTGATGGGGTGGGGTTCGTGAAACACCTTTAATGCCATGCATCTGAGCGCTTGGGAGTCGCGGGCGGATCGAGCCTCACCGTCCACTTGGATCTTGACATCCTTCGGAGCTGCGCTGGGCGGATCTGGGGCTTCGGATCTTCCCAAGTCCTGGAAGGAGTCGACGATGCATCGACACCGTGGACGGTAGACCTGGTGATTTGGGGCGGCTTGGGGTGGATCCAGGCTTAGGAAAGTCGAGAAGTCTTGGATGAAGAAAAACACATTAGCAAGTCTTGGGCCAGGGAAAAAAGATATATAATTTGACTTATCTCTACCCCAACTCCTTTTGGTGTATTTGAGTTATGGGTTCATCCTACGGCTGAGACACAATGAAGCCACATGTGAAAGTCGGGCGCCGTGTAAACGAGGGGCTACTTTGAAGGCTGCGCGATGGGCTTTGCACTTCACACCCACAGCCTCCGGGGTCTTGTTGGGGTTCTCTATTCCAACACAAACTCATTTCTTCTTCCATCTTCCATATTCTTCCAAGAAGCCACTCTGGACCCCACATTGCTCCGGAAGGGCATGGGAATCATCTCCACACTGGGCGCATCCGCCGGCTCTGGCACATCCGATTCCATGGCTGCCCAGTCAGGCAGCCCAGGCTGTAGTTGAGTGAGTCTCAAAGAAAGGAGGTCTAAATTAACTTGAAGATTTCATCCAGTCATGTGCTCTAAATCTGGGTCTGTGCTCACCGGGGTCTTGCCTCTTTCGTTGGTGTTCGTTCTGAACTTGTAGCATCCGAAACCAAGAGATATGTTGATGTTTCACCATGGTTCGAGAGAAGTGAACGCGGTTTCATGATCATGTGTTCTCTGGTCTCTTAAACACCTTTTCCCTCAGAAATGACCACCCCCGTGGCTTCCTCGTAGATGCCTTTTTCAAACAGGTGTCCCACTGCAGGATATACTGAAATTAGAGGATATCAAATGAGTGATGCAATGCCATCATGATCCAATTCTTTGTATCTGGTAGAGCTCCTGAATTTAGAATCATTAAGAGACACTCCTGGAATCTGCCATATCAACAACTGTCATGTAGTTGAACTTAGTTGCCCGGGGAAGGCCTTTGAAAAAACAAATATTTGACCTACCTGAAACATGTAGCACGAAGATTTAACCAAATTGCCTCTCTACAGTGATTCCTCATTATCCTAGCCCTAGTAGTCCCTAATATATTCAGATGTCAGCTGTAGCTGTCAAAGCTCCTCCCATCCATTGCATGCCTGTGGTGGTGCTTGTGCATGTGGTGTGTGTGTGTGCGTGTGGAGCATGATGGAGCTTCTGTACTGCGACCACGTCACTACCTCCACTGAGAAGAGCGGCGTCAAGAGCGGCGTAAGAGATCACACATCATTATATAATCATCAAAAAAAGGCTTTTAAGTGATTACAATCATGGGAGAAACAATCATGAAAGGCTTTAAGTGATTACAATATATTAGAATTATTAAAGACAACACCTGTTATTACAATTATTAAAGAAAAACCACCTGTTTTCGAAGAAAAGGGAGGATCACCGAAACCGTGACCGACTTTTCTTGACAAAAACTCCTTCGAGCTGCCAAGATTGGCAAAATGAGCTGCACACATTCGCCTTCATCGAGATTCCATGAATCCAAACTGTCTTCTGAAAAGAATCCGGGAGCCTGTTGCCCCACTGAACTGTGTTCTTTTTCTGGTTTCTTTTTGTTGAAGCTTAGAGGAGTGGCCAAACGCCACCAGTCGACAGGGGAATCCAAATGAAAAGACTTCACCGGGGTGCTCGAAGTACACCGCGTTTCTTCTCCCATCCTGTTCATCTTGATGAACACATCACTCTGGTGAAGACGTGGCTGGGCATGGCCCTTTTGAAAAAAGCCGGTAGTGAGTTGGAGTGTAGAATCAAGAGAAAAGCCACCTTGCCTTCGAAGTGATCGAACTTGAGATTCCGATTTTCGATCACGGACCGAAGGTCCTGGAAGTGAACAACACATCACCAAGCTCATCCTCCACTCAGATGAATTCCTCAAATTTCTGTTGGACATTACACGCTCAACTCCCATCTCTCCAACCCTCGCCACACCGACGCAGTGGCCTACCTTAAGCTCCAGTCAGTCCCCATGCGACTCGCAAAAGGGACGGAGGTTCCATTCGTTGGGCGTTCGGTTGTGGCGACTCCCCGTGTTTTTTGGTCCTGCCTGATGTAAGATGTTTGATTGGTCCAAACTCAAGCTAACATATTAATTTCCATTAATTCCTGCTAGAGCAACCAAGTCATGTCTGACATGTTGTGATATAGATCATCAATCTGAAGACGTTGAAAGCTTCAGGAGCGCCAGTCTTACGGAAAAGCACAGTCTACGTGTGAAAGGTGCACACCAGTCCAGTGGTCCGGGATTGTTGATTAATGTATTAGTTGTATGTGGTTGTATGTGCGTGTGGGGTGATATAGATGTTGGAATGTATTGTGATGTATTGTGAATATAGGAATGGTGAAGCAAGCTGGCCTGGCTGGTGAAGATACTACAGATCTAATCAAACGGTCACCCTAAAACATATGTAGACATTGACATACTGATTTCATCTGATTTCCTGGACCATCTGTTAGCGGGCAGAAATTGCAGAATGACGTGCGAGTGCTCAAAGAAACTCAGTGCTCACAAACCTAACAAGGTCACTGAACACACACACACAATGAGGGCCCGAATTCATGGACCTGCTGCATTATCAGGGGATTGAAACATCGTCGAACACAGCACCAGCCGTTAGGTCAGGGGAAGATCAAACAACCTCGTCGAACACAGCGTTCTGCGTTCGCTCCATTTGTATGGTTGTCTTGTCCGGTGCTTCGGCCAAACATGTTGACTTGGAGAACATGTTGAAACCCAGCACATCACAATCACACACCAAGCACAATCAATCACAATCAAATAATGCCCAATGCCTAGTGCTGTACTATGACTTCTGGAGGAGGTCCCAATCTTTGTTGGGTCTGAAGCCGAGATGATTGTTTAAAAAAACTGTCTTGCTTGGGTCTGAAACCGCTAGGACCCTGGTAGCTCAGCGTAGCAACCTCTGCCTGCAGCAATTGCGGCACGTTTTGGCCCCGGCTTGCACGGGCAAGTCGTAGGCTTTCGTCAGGACAGCGACAGCGGAGGGGCGACTTCGTAGCAACAAAACCATGCGAGGATCCAAAAAAGGAGGAAAGGTGTCACAGGTTCAGGAAGTTGAAAATTCGAGTTGAACTCAACAATTCAATCTTCCACATGGCATTTTCAGGCACACCTCCTGCCGGACACCTCTCCCGCGTTGGTTCGGATCTTATGACAGTCGCGGGGTGCTCCACCAGCCGAACAAACAAATCACCAATTTCCCCCGACAGTCACTATCGCCCCGCTGGCGAAGACTGCCGGGGCCGGTGGCGGGCAGGGGGGTGGTCACTGCACCCACGCAACACAGACTCGGCAAGCAAAAGCTTCAACATCACATTGTTGGTACAATGTGTGTGAATGAAAACTACCAAATTTGCCACAAAATGGTTGGCTGGGATTAACAAAACTAGCTTCTGTAGAACCTGGTCTTGCCTGTCCGGGCAGCGGTCCAAAGGCACAGGAAAGCCTCCAGCGATCCCGATGCCGATCGTCCAGCTCCAGCGTCCACCGAATTCTCACGCGAGAGACTGCAAGCGCTGCAAGGGCAGCGGTACAAAACTTGTTTTCTGAGGAAATGTCTCACTTCATAACAGTCATGGTGGGCACGATGCATGGAATGATGTCTACCGTCTATACCGTTTGCCTGTTTAACCACCATGTGAGGACAAGTCAGTGAATTCCTCCCCAGCGCCCAGTGATCTTGCAAATCATTGAACATCCATACAAATCCACAGATGTTTGAGAATAGGTTGGATGACGAAGTCGGGCCTTCACTGTTGATCATCGTGAAGCCAAACACTTGAAGACGCTTCAAGGCATTGACCAACCCGTTCAGTGGACAACGAAACTCAAACTTGGCAGCTGTACACATCTTGGTCTGTAATGTAGGGAGCTATGTCGCATCTTTGTTTTACAAACACTTGACTAGCCATGCTCAGGACGTTTGACTCTCTTTGGCTCTCTTCTGAATTGGGACCTATATAGAAGCTCAAGCTCGAAGTTTCAATGATTTCCTCAGCGTAGATTCAATCAATTTTGGGGATAAAGCCAGACCCTCCCTGCCGGTTCTTGGAGTTGGGGTGCTGAGTCTCCTCGGAGTCTCCTCCTCAGCTACCCATGCGAACTGGAAACATCAATCTGTACAGTCCTCTCCTTGGTGGCTCAAGATGCCTTCGTAAATCCATTAAACCAAACAAAAACACATGAAATTCCAAAACCTTAACTTTTGGTGAACAGTGAACACAGGTACCTCATCATATCGTGTCAAAGGCACCTACATGGCACCTCCTACAGGCTCGGATAGTTCTTAGTTCCGATGGTACAGGAACTGCCTTGTTGGAGGGTCCTTGCAGGGTCACTCTGCCCTTCTCACTTTGGCACCTTAGTCACATGATGTCACATGAATTACAACGCACACGACACGCACTGTGATCCAACGCCGAGGAGTGAGGAATTGTCAGGCCGCAGTCTGCTAATAAATGGCCAACGCTGCCAGAGAGTGTTCCTTTGATCGTCACCAAAACGCTCCATGTACAACTAAAAATAACATTGGAGTGGTTGAAAAGGTGTCAATGTAGGCTTACTTGTAGGCTTATACTGTATTCCATAAGGGTCATGTTCCACCTACAAACCTCAAATACGCCAGATCCACTCGCTATTCGATCCCCGAACCAATCACATACCCAACAGCCTCCTGGGATCTCCAAGTATCCTGTTGAAGTAATGAACAGGATGTCTTTGCCAGAACCAAATCATGTCAAACAGTTCCAAATTCCGCATCTATCCTATGCATCAAACATATTAAAACATAACACGTATGTAGCTCATGTATCGTCCTGTTGAATAAACGAAACTGCCATCCTCCATCCTCCCCTGCTCCACATAGCTCCCCTGTGGTTCCCGACAGGCCGCAAAGCTGCTACCCCAGGGCCTCAGGAACGTCGGGGCAGGGGTAATATCGTGAACAAAGCAGGACCCAACGAGTGTGCCAAGGTGTTGAAACGGATTGCTTTGTTGGTCATTTGGATTCATGATGTTTAACATATGTTCTTTTCTTTTCCCAATCTGGTGGTGAATGGGAGAGTTCACTGGCCTGGCATCTTCTTCCACAGACCAGATACAGGTCCAGTTGACTTACTCAGTTGATTCAGTCTAAGCCGGCTATGTCAGCGATGTGGATCCCTTTTCCACCCGGTACTGGTCATCTTTCTACCCCAATCACCAATTGGATCCACCTCAAAAAGGACTTGGAAAAAAGGGAGCTCCAAGCAACGGCCTTTTCGATGCCTTTTGTGGGTCCAAACGCCGTGTTCACAACATCTGTGGCAGCTTCCAACAGAGGTTAGACTATCCCATTGGTACGCCAGTGGAGTCCTATAAGGTCACTCAACCTCTCTTGGTTCTGATCGACTGTGAGACTCTTTTGAGAACTCATGCAATGCAGTCACCAAGAGAAGCATCGACTTCTTTGCTCCACGAATAGTTGCTGATCAGTCCGCATTCCTTGACATTACACCGTCATCCCGAAAAACACAAATTTATCTCATAGTGTTGGGCCGTGAACTGCCCCGTGGAACCTGAGAATTCACGCTCCTTTCAGACCGTTGTCCACAGACCAGACTCACGATGACGCCCATCTCCCAGCCCCGCTTCCGTCCACGCTGCTTTGCGTGCGCTTCCGCAGGTGGATCTTCCGCGCGCGCTCGACCTCGCCCACACTGCGCTGCTTCCAGTCCAGTCCGTGGCTCGCTCGCGCGCGACCCCATCGGTGTGTTCGGTGCCGTCCTGCAGGGCCCGATCTGTCACGATGTCGTTTTCCCAGATGCATGGCATGGGACAGAATACCAAAAGAGAGGTTGAGAGACCAAGACCCTGTAGTGTTGCATATGGGATGCGCGACCTGGCGGCCTGTTCAACCTCTCTTGGTCGTTTGGTTTCTCTTTCGCCATGCATCTGCATCTGCCAGGTTGATAAGTTACCTCATCGGGTCCGATCTGCCTCAGGTAACTATTCCAGTCCCATGGATGGTCTGGATGTGGACAAGATGTTCCTCCATCCCTAGGGCTCTACCCACATCCTCAGGTGGTTAGACCCCCTGGCACCCACCCCAACAACCTTCTGAGGATGTGGTACGAGCCCCAGGGCCTATAGGGCATATTTAGGAGGAACAAACTTACCCCCAATCGATGGTCCGATAGTTTCTCCATGTTTTGCCAAATGAGTTCTGTATAGTTCTGTATACATGTCAAATGCTATTAAAGGTTGTTCCACTTCCCTTCCGCCCAAGGGGATGGGGCCGATTCACCGTAAAAAAAACACCATGACACGATGCCGTCTTCAGCGCGTCGAGCTCTTTCCCAAACAAAAATAGACATGAACAAAAGCACAAGGCTCGCAAGGCCACTCAGGATTTGCAAGAAATTTGGTCCAGCTTCTTCAAAGTGACCCTCTCAAGAGAGGTTTCCAAACAGGACACGAAGAGTGGCGCCAGTTGCTGACCTCGAACTGCTCAAGTTCCCTTCGAAGAAGCTTCCAGCCCTTAAGGGGTCAGTTCCTCCCCTTCATCAGCCCCGAGGTGTCGTGCGTAGAAATCGAAAGCCAAACGCCAATCGAATGCTCTCATCACGAAGGTGAACGGTGGTCGGTCTGGAGACTCGGACTTCGGTGTGGAGACTCGGACTTTAGATTTCTTTTGAGTGACCTATCTTCAGCAACTCATCCCTGCACCGCCTTGATACTGGACCATCACACGCCATTCTCGGCCTGAAACCACTAGTATGACCCTCCAACCGCAGTCCCCTTCTGTGCCCGGCATCTCCGTTGATTCGTCGCTTCGGGGGGCTTGCCCCGCCTCCAAGGGAGCCAGCGCCCGGCGTGGCTCCTCGACTTGGCCTCTGGCGTGGCTCCGGGCATGCCAGAGGACCTTCTTGCAAGGCTGGTGGACTCTCAAACTGCTTTCCAACAGAGGTTAAGTGACCTGAACTAGGACCCTACTGGGGTACCTATAATATACTATATCTGCTGGTCGAGGGTCAACACATGTCAAAATGCTAGCTGTGTGGGTCCAATGCGCCTCTGGGTTGCAAGAAAGTCTCGGCACACACCTTTTCACCAACGCAGGTCCGAACTGGAATTATGTTGGATTCACCTTCACCATGGACTCTGAGAAGGGCCTGGGATTGAAGGGGGCGCACGGACGTTCCCAGAAGGTCTGTCGGACAACTTCCAGGACCCAGGACGCAGAAATAGCCTTCAAAAAGAACCTAAAACCTTGGAGACTGCAAGTGTTTGGCAGTGACATGGATTCATACCGCCAATATGTTTGTCCACCCCAGAGGCTCATGGACCCGAACCAACTGCTACATGTTGGTTCGGTCCCAAACCTTGGCTGTGAGGGTCAAAACCCTAGCGGCCAAGCAAACTGAGGGTCCAATGAGCCTGCTCTTCGAGGGACATGCTCCAAAACAAATGCTCCAAATCTCTCAGAGAAACACGGCCACGCGGGCACAGTGGATTTCAGAGCCTTCTGTCCTGAACATGAGTTGCAAAGCTCGAAGCTACTCCAAGTATGGGCATGAAATGGAATAATCTGGCTACCTAAACGCTCCGTTCACAGCCCAACCGGTCCCTCAACACCGATCGGGATTTGAGACCCTTAGACCCCTCCAAAGGATTCGGGTCCAGGGTAACGTCTGACTAGTTGATGTGAGCTCTCGAATGTCCATATGCTGAGAGACCCCAAAACCCTGCACATGCTGGTCCATGAGCGAAGAATTTGTAGTTGATGTGGTCCTCGAATGTCCAATGAAATCGTAGGCAACAATCAATCGAGAAGGATAACAGTTGTAGAACGACCGAACCGGGTTCGCAGAGGATGAGCCGGGATGCATGGAAAACCCCCACTACTACTGAACAAAACCACTACTTGAACTTGCTTCAGGAACCTGGAAAACATGCAACATATTCCCCAGATTTGGGGATTCAGGCGATTCACCCATAGGCCCAGAGGGGAAATCAACAAGTCATCTTAAGCAAAACCAGGACTACTTCTACAACAAAATTTGACATTGGATGAATATGTTGAAAAGCATAATCTCCGTTTCTTTTAATAGACACTCCATTCACCCTCCGAAATGCAGGGCCCCAGGCCATTGACAAACTTGACGACCCTCAGTGATGAATCTGTGTGTTGAAAAGGCGAGGGTTGGGCCACAAGAAAGCCATTTCGATGCAACTCAAACACGGACCCCCCAAACAGCTGATAGAAAACACATGTTCCACTACTACATGACTATGTTAGCTCTGTTCGTTCAATGAAACAAGTATGTGCTTGGATGTTTCCCATCCCTTGTTTAGGCAGGAAATCAACAAGTCAAACATAATCAAACCAAGCCGTCCGTAACCTGGAACCTCTTGAGCATCTATATTTCAAGCCCTTAGAGGTTTTGATTAGAGTGTCTCTACAGTGTTTTTGTGGGTTCTGGAGGCGCAGCTTTGAAACGCAGGGGCGTCTTCCAGGGCGGGCACCCAATTCTTCCGCATTGGATGACATGTGGGTCATTGCATGAATCAAAAAGACAAGGCAAATAAAACACTCCTGGAACGTCCATGCAAACTCATTGGTTGCTTCAACACACCTCAAGGTCCGTGGGATTCAAAAAAATAAACGCGACAAAACACATCTTGAGATCGCCCCCTAGCAATGGTCCGAGTCCTTTTGAGCCCTTGGACCGGGGGCATATCCGAAGATGACATCGAAGAACAATCAGGTCTAAGGCAAATCAGTCCAACATCCGTCCATAATGCTCCATACTATAACTATATATAACAGTTTCAAGTCCTCTCAAGAGCCCAAAGCCAGAGTATCAAAATCACCAACTGCTCACCCAAATTGCTGTAAAGGTGAGGCGGAAAACTTATGTTCTGACTCCCTCAACTTGACTGGCAAAGAATCCAGGGTCCGGGGGTAGGTGTTTCACCTGCTTCGGAATGCAAGCGGCTGCTTCAGTGCCTCAACTTGCTTCTTCCATCTGCTCCCTGGTGTTTGGGACACTCCGAAAATGCCCTGAGCTGCCCCCGCTCTGGAGCAGCAGCTTCACCTGGCGAAGGCACGGCCGTGATGGAGAGGCGAAGGTGGGAAGGGAAAGGGATTTGTGATGGCTCAAAGGACAAGTGATTCGTTTTGGAGAGGTTAAACAAATGAATCCATATCAGTTGTCTTCGCGTCAAACATGTATCCCCTTCTCTTCGCCTCCCACAGGGCCCTCGCTAACACGTCGAAAGGGCAGTCCATCGGTTCGGACCGACCGAGGGAAACCTGAGGGAACCGAGCGACCTGCACTGGGCATGGCTGGCAGTGTAGGAAGAAACCTCTCTAGGCATTTCATTTCTACTGCCCTGCTGCCATGGATGTCTCCCTACCGATGAAAGAAAGGTGCAAAGCCACAGGCTCGACCTCGCGCTAGTGAAAGAAAGATGATGAACCTGTGTTTTCCAATTCCAGACTTGTTCAAATAGGGAAAGCCCTACAGGAAAGCCGGAAACCGGTGATGTTTCCATGGGTTTCCTAGGTCAAAAGGTTGGTCATGGTTGGTCCCTTCAACGGGAAAACAACATCCAGGTTGGAGTCATGGGGAAAGACTGGATTTGGATGACAACTGCACTGAGTTCTGTCTTTCTGAGTTCAGTTCCTGCCTGTGTTGAGCACTTCACGCACGATGTCTGACGGCGCGCGTCTCAGAATGAAAAACACACACAACCAACCAAAAACACGGCCCCACAATTTGGACGATCTTCCAAACGAATCCAAATGAGGTGGCACCATATTGGTACCATGTGGTGCCAACAGGTTCCAAACTGAACCTTCCCCGGCGATGTTCACGCCACCGTCCCACACCCCATGTTCAGCCGCCTCGAGCAGTCTCACGTGGGGGCTCCTCAAGGAGAACACTCAAAGAAATGGGAAACAAGTCACCATATAATTTCTCTGACCATCACTCCCATCAAGCTGTCGAATGTTGTCGATTCCCAACCAAGGCTATACCCTGAGAAGCCTGTATTGAAAAATTCAATAAAACATGCATTTTCAATATCACCAATTAGAAGTCACTATTAGCAATATTGAACTTGATGCCAATTCAATTAGAAAAATCAATTGCAACATCACTCTTATTGAAAATAAAACAATATTTTGGTCAATGAAAATGGTCCCCTTAAGCTTCAAAGACTTTTCGCAAGTCCTTGTGCAAGACCCTTCACAGGTCCTTTGCCACCAGCTGCAAGTGCTTGCCTATCTGATATTTCATGCAGATTGTGGAGGTGACTCTGTCAGGAGGCAATCCTGAACAGGCAGCAGCCAGCTTTGTGGCATCCCCAACTAGGTGTTCACCTGGGCAACACCAGATTGAGGTTGGATTCATGAACTGGGCATCCTGGGCGATGTGCTCTTGGTAGTGTAGCTTAGGCATCTGGCTCCATTGGAACCTGGAGAGAATGGAGAGAAGATTCAACAGTACTATGTGGAATACAATTTGGTTGTGGAAACTTTGAGCTTTGAGACAAGGAGCTGGCCAACCTTCTCAGTGCTGAGGGCGCTGATTTGCTGAGACTTTCATAGTGCCGAAGAAAGCGAGATGTGGCTGCCTGGTAAGCTGAGCTTTCCTGCTTAGTGAGGAACATTCCATCATTGTGCATGATGTTGTAGATTTTTCCAAATTCTGCAAGCAATAGAGCCGGTGCTTGCAAAAAGGAGTAGAAATCCTTGCTGGTGCTGGTGCAGATGCATCAGCATGAACCAGCAGAGGTGGGGGGGAATCATCCATTTCAAGTGCACCCTCTGGTGCAGATGCATCAGCATGGGCCACATTATGTGGTCTTTTGAACAAGATCCCAAGGAGCGATTTGAACATGTCCCCACTGCAACACCAGCTTTGCATGGCAGCTGGTGAGAATCACTGGAATGGAGACTATTGTGCAAGTCCCAGGCACTTCAGAAACAACAATTTATAGAAAGCACAGCCAGAAAAAAAACACACAACACAAAAAATCAACATATTTTTGTTTTTTGGAAATCAATATTTTGGTTCTGCATTGCTGGATACTGAAGTCGGATAAAAATTCAATACAATATTCGCAATATTATACAGTGTTGAAAACCGTTTGTCTTCAATATTTTTTCAATACAGGCTTCTCAGGGTAGTTGGTCCATTGGGTCTTTATAGTTGTTTGAGGCATATCATATTGCAGGGGAACCGGAGGGTGCGTCCGGTCCTTCAATTCCAGGGAGAAGCACAAAAAACATGGTATCACGACAGTTATTCTTTATGCATATTTCCAACCCTTTTTTGAACATGTATATGCATTTACATTGGGACTCACAAGCGCACCACTCCCTCCAACCCCCAAAAAGTTGCATACTCCCCGAGACAATAGAAATCTTCAGGGTCAGACGAGGCCTAATGAATCCCACAGAGACACACAACAACGAAGGAATAACGAACGCATTGAACTTCAAAACCTGAACGCAACAAGTCTCGACGTAGTTGGCCCCCCTCCCCCTGCCTCTCCCCACCGCCCTGTGCTTGCTTTTGCTTACTACTAACCTCTGTATGGTCTCACCTCTCATATGTGTACATGACAGACACAATTGCTTGCTTTCACGTGCGACGCTGCACTTGACTAGCTTTCCGTGCGTTGTCCGATGGAGCACTCTCGAGACTCGAGACAGTGTTCTTTCCAAGGGAACTCCACTGCATTGCACCTCGTGTCACCCCCCCGTCCCTTCCACAGCACGTCGAAACAACGACTGAAACGGAACATGGAAGAACTGGCGGAACGCGAACGCCTGCACGAGTCATCAGAGGGGGGGAAACCAACAATATTAAACAAATAAACACAGAGAACATACCCGATCAAGTGTGATAATGAGTGTGTGTGTGAGACTTCAGATTGCACATTGATGAGCTTGTCGAACTGTCCGTCCATCAATCATCTACGTGGATGATCATCAAGGCAAGTGTCTGATTCTCTCCATGGGTTCGACTTCTCCTCAAAGGAACATAAAAGGCTTGGGCGTTTATCGGTGTCGAAGTCGGACGGCTCACCTACACTTTCGGTACAATCTCACCTATAGAGGATGATACAAGTAGGATCCCTACCAGGAGCCTCATGTCAGTATATAGAGACTATATAGTTCCATGTTCCCAAAGCAAAGCCTTTTCCATTGGTCCGGATTTGTGTAAAATATTATCGTATGGTATACTAGAATATACTAGTATATTTATCCCCCTGCCAATTAGGGTGGAGGGGTCGGGGCCACCATTCTGTAGTACAACAGAACGGGGGACCCAACATCACAAATTTGCATACACTATATATTTCACATGGACCCAACCCTGCTTCTCTACAAAATGCTTGGACCCAACATTGATAGTATTGTATATAAAAAAAGAAAATCTGCACTACAAAAGTGGTGGGACCCAACCTCTATGTTGTCCCTTTTTTTGACTACAAAATGGTATGGACCCGACCTCTGATGCTCAGGCGTTTGGGTCTGTTTTGAGGTCTGTTCAATCTTGGAAAAAATGCATCTAAAAAAACAGCTGTCTTTTTTTCATCGAACTTTCGGCTTCTGCGTGTTGAGATCTAAGATTTGCCAGTGCTTTGCACTTGACACCCCCAGGTTGCATTCATTTTGCAACATCCATTTGGCAAGCCTTTTTGACTGCCTTGACAAGATTAAGATCCATTCTGATCTTCCTCATCCTCTGGATCCTCGGGCTTCTGATTTTTCTCTGATGCCATGTAGTCGCTAATCTCCTTGATGAGCCTCATGTAGGCCTGCCTGCTAGGCGGCGAGCGCAAAAGCTGCGATCTGATGATCTCGAACATCTTGAAGATCGATTCATGGTAAGTCTCCGGCTTCCTGTGCTGACGGTACCTGAGCAAGGTTTTTGGTCTGACAGGGTCTAACTGTAGATTATTGATTTCAAAAATGCTAAGTTTTAAACGACAAAAGATAACAAAAGTAAATCCATGTAAATCCCTAATTTTGACAACCCACATCACTTGCACGCACCATGGTCCAAAAGCAAGGACGTTGTTCCAGTGGACAGCTTTCGCATTTGGAAGCTTCATGCGGCATGCACCACTGTCGTTGAAAACTGGATTGGAAGCGAATGCATTCCAGTCCAACTTCTTGACCTTCTCCAGGGCTGAAGCGATGGCTGCCCGCCCTGCCTTCGATCGCCGAAATTCATGTTCAAGCTGATGTGTGGGCTGTTTCGAAGACCTCTGTTTTCCGGCCAATTTGGCAATGGCGATGGTAGATTTGACACCCTTGACTTTGTCGAGCTCTGCTGTCTCCATTGGTTCTGGTACAACTTTCTTGGCTCCGCGAGTCATAGTTGGCGGCACTACCCAAGTGTCCACATGCGGAATATTTGCCAAAGCATTGGCGGACTCTTCCGACAATACAAAATGCATGGAATCATCGGAAAGCAAAGGCTGAAGACCTTGAATTCAAAGACTGCAATACGATCTACTCCAAACTAAGCATTTTGTAGCACCTAAACCTTATAGAAATTATGCATTCTCATGGATTTTCTAGTAGTCAATCCTGGGAACACTCATTTTGTAGTAAATAGGTACGCTGAACTGAAAATTCAAAACAATCACCAACATTTGCAAACCAACATTCTGACACAAAGAGGCATAGCAAGTACAATCTCGTGCAATCCCCACAGTGTACTGAATCGAAGCCCAGACACTTCGAACACAATCCAAGACAGCAATGAGACTTTCAATCCGCTCTACAAAGCAAGGTGATTTCGATGAACACGTCCACCTGGTAGAATCAGACTCCACAAGCATATCCAAGACAATGCAACGAAGGGCGCTGCAAGAGTTGATCAGCACCTCTCCGTTGTGCGGTTTCGGGCTTTTGATGCCCTTCCAGGCGGTCAAAACCATACCAATCTCCACGTCTCCCTTGCCTGCTGTGTGGAACAACACAACGTTGCCAGGCCTCAAGGTGAATGCAAAACCAAACGCATCATTTGGGTCTGTAGCATATCACTACAAAATATAATATGTTCAAACAATCACTACAAAGTGCTTGGACACACCAAAATATAGATAGAATCTGAATAATTCTGCCACATATTATATTTTGTCAATACGCTTGTCTCTGAATAGTTCATCATATCTCTACAAAGTGCAAAGTAACAAAGTACATAGTACACAATGCTTGGACCCCAAAAAATAATACTAATGTGATAAGCCACATGATCCTTTCAGGAACAGCAACAGGAAGCTTGAGCTCTGCTTGGGCTTTCTGGGACAATTCACGCCATTTGTCAAGTCTTCCTGCTCTGCTGCGGTACTGAACATCGTCTTTCTCCGCATTGTGCATAGCAATGAGTCTCTCATTGTACCTAAATGCATTTTGTAGAGATTGTCCCCCTCTGCCCCCATCATAGTTAAATATCTTGAGAGTCCAGCTTTCTGTAGCGTGGAGTCAGTGGGCTTTTCATTTTGTAGTGAACTATGCTTGTAGTCAAGAGAAAAAACTTAAGAAACAAATAAATACAAGGGGCTGATACCAGGAGAGTCCCTTGGAAGCTCGTCTCACACTCCGGGGGTTCTTGATGAACATGGTGTCCATTCCTCCATAGCCTGCTCGAAGACGCACTGCCAATCTCCACAAGCTATTCCACTGGTCACACTTCATGTCCAGGGCCTCGGCGAGAGTTGAAGGCAAATAGTTTGGATCAACCTTTGTATTTGGAGACTTGCTGTTGTCTCTCTTGAAAGGTTCCATGACATTCTCCTTCTCTATCAACTTCTTGAGTTGCTCTGCATCAGGTAGAGATTTCAGCGCATGTCGCAATGAATCAATCTCCTCCATGGCCTCGTCCTGGTCATCCTCTGCTAGGAG